AGCAGCCACTGAACTGGTTCCCCAGGGAGTGCACTGAACTCCTGGGACTTCGCCCTGGTAAATCAGCCTTTTGCATATTTTGAGAGTGGACCTGGATGCTGGAGCCCCGAATATCCGACAGTGCACATGCTATGCTCATCATCTTTGCCACCAGAGGTGCTGCGTTTTCATCCATCCAGCAGCCCCCACTGTTTGAAAGGAACTCCTCAGTTGATTTGGAGGGTTGCGCTGCAAAGAGTCCAGCAGGCAAAGGCTGGTTTCCTGCCTCCTTCCACAACAGAGGGTTCCTAACCTTGGGCCACAGGGCTCATATGCCAAAAATAATTTACATCACCTGTAACCCACCTGTGCTTCTTTCTAATCTTCTCTCCTCAACCTCTAGCGCTACTTTCTTTGTTCCAGTACAGATGAGGAGTCAAAAGTGCTGCCCTGCCGAAGCATCCTGCCATTAAGAGCATCGAGCTAACTGGGAGATCCTGGACTTCACCACTCTTAACCAGGCGTCATTTCATAGGAAAAGAGGTGCAGGAGCTCATTAGCATAACTTATTTGCATATGCCACAACACCCCCTGACATCACCAGAAGTGTGTCAGAAGGCAACGCCCACTGTTCAGGCTCCACTGGATTGTTGTGGATTGCTAGCTATTGGGGGGGGAGTGCAGATCTGCCCTCACAGAGAAGGGAGAGCTTGCACCTGAAGGCCGGCCGGGGGGGCTCTGCAACTTACCTGGATGCTTCTTGCTCCTCATGGCCCAATTGAGGGCTGCTGGGAGCAGGGGGCGGGGCTTGTTGCATGGGCCCACCCCCTGGGCACCTTACTGCCAGAGCTCTGCTCCTGTGCACTCCTGCAGGAAATGACCCCTGCTTCCTAACATATCTAAGGGACTGCCTCTTCCTGTATATGCTCTATAGATCCAACACCTCCCAGTAGTCCCTGGCCCGAAAGATGTCCGTCTTGCCTCGACCAGGGCCAGGGCCTTTTTTGCCCTGGCCCCTGCCTGGTGGAACATGCTCCCCACTGAGATCAGGGCCCTGCAGGACTTACCTCAATTCTGCAGGGCCTGTAAGATGGAGCTGTTCCGCCAGGCCTTTGGCTGAGGCAGTGGTAGGGTTGCCAAGTCCGTCTTCCACCCCCAGCGGGGGACTTTGGGGGCGTTCCTGGAGGGGGTGGGGCATCCCCAACGTGATGACATCACGTTGGGGACGTCTGCCGCCCCTCCCCCCCGCCTGTACGCCGGATCTCCAGAAACAGCAGTTCCCTGCACTTAAAGTAGCCGGCAGCCGGCGTTTCCCCTTTAAGAGCAGCTGCATTTCCCTTTTAAGAACGA